TTGACGGAAAAGCAGAAAGCGGAAAAGCAATGGCCAATCACAACTCGCGCTGATAGTAAGTAGTACAAAAAGCCGAAATTGTCGACTACCAGCGCGAGTTCTGATTGGCTGCTGCTTTTCCGCTTTCTGCTTTTCCATCAAGGTGTGAACGCGCCCTAATACTACTTCCGTCGTGCGGCAAAAGTTGGATTGATGGCTCGTGCACATTGGACACGGAAGAGCTTACCGCGCGGCAAAATACGACGCGGTAACCAATGAACATGTTAGGAGCTGTAAGCTTATTGGCTACTGCGTCAACTTCCGTCGCCCGGCAAGCGTTGCCGCGTTCTGTGTGCAGGAGCCATTAGAAGCTGACGGAATTGGCAGGAATTTGTGGGAAGCAGTTGGAAGCAAAAGAGGTTAAGATCCACATGTATCGTGTTTAATTTGTGTATTTCTATATTTAAACATCTCTCACATTTTCATTAACTTGATCAATTTGATAATAACGTAGACGACAACGACAAAGAAAGAAGCAATAAAGAAAGGTAATACATTAAAGAAATAGACATAAGCAAAAAGAGAGAAAACATATCGTATAAATTAATGGTGAATTCGATCACTTGGCTGCTCTGAATTGCACAGTAAAAAATTTTGTGTTAAATTTAACACATTTCACATGTCCCAAGTGGTCCACCTAAATTTTTGTGTTAATTATATTTAACATAAGATGAATATGTTAGAAAGTAACACAAGAAGTGTTACTTTGCCTCAGTACTTTAACTCAATTTAAAAACAAATTTTATGTTAAATTGACACATTTATAATGTTAAATTTTACTGAAATTAGATGTTATTTTTACATTTTTTAGTTTAGGCAATGCCTCTGTGTTATTTAACATATGCAATATATAGATCAATCAGATATTTACTGTTACAAAGAGAAAATAAAATAAAATATGTAAATAAATGAAATATGTAAACTATGTTTTACAGAATATATTTCTTCAGTAAAATTAATATTTATAATATATTAAATCAACACACATTTTATTCATTTATTTTTAGAATTTATGTTTTAAAACTACATTATTTTTATGTTATTTGTTTACTTATCTATAATTGTGTTATTTTAATACTGAAAAGTGTCCAATTTTAATTAAAATATTCAAATAACAATCATATTATGTTAAATTAAAACTAGGCTATGTTAAAAATTCAACACAAAAATTTTAACAAGGATTTGTTTTAACATAAATACAAAATGTTTTTTACTGTGTACACATTAAATGCTGTTTTATGTAAAGTATCTGAATGCAGTGGCATAATATAATCAACTTTAATGAAACAATGCATTCTGTTAAATAAAGTGAAATAGTGGGTGCGTTCTGAGTTATGCATGAAGCACATGATGCATCACTTGTCCTTGTTGTTTATCAATTAATAAAGAAGGATACAATGATATATCATGCGTTTCATGCGTAACTCAGAATACATCCAGTATATTCTATTAAATAACACTATAGTTCTGTTAAATATGACAGTTATTGGGTACAATCAATGATTTAAAACAGTGCTGAGACTTTTACTTGCACATTTCAGTCAATTTTCAACTTGATTCCTGCCTCTTACTTCACCAAGTGAATGCCGATCAGCATTTAGGCTGCGTGCAAGGTTGGTGAAGTAAGAGACAGAAACCAAGCTGAAAATCAGCCGAAATATGCAAGTAAATCCCAGCACTGTTTTAAAATATGTTAATAAATATGTTTTAATATAATGGTTAAAATATTAATAATAATAGTAAACATTTAGTTTAAAATGTTTATATGCTTTTATATTTAACTTTATTAATTTTTTGTACAGCAGCTTTTAGTGTGCACTAATCTGGAATAATACAAGTGAATTCGCTACAAATTAATCTAAGCTATTTCTTATAAATCTGATATTAATTTAATATTATTAAATCTAATATTAAAACAGACAGCATGGCGGAAGCACACGAGGTCGACAAAAAGAAACGAAAGAAGAAACGTTCTTACGTACAAATGGCGAAGAAAGTTGCCCGTCAGAGAAACTTTGGCAATGATCTGGACCGTGATATCTATCTGTATCTGATTCGTATTCTTGAGTTAATACGTAATGGTTCATCCTCGGCCGAAGAGAAGATTATGCTCGCACAGAACGTTTACCAGGAGATATCTGGTCGTGAGATCGTATGTGCGTGTAATCAAGTTGGATCTCACATCATAGACTCTCTGCTGAAGTACGCTAACTTGGAGGCCATTCAAAAGCTGACTCAGGCATTGGAGTCTTCTTTGAGACGATTGAGCAGCGACAGATTCGCCAGTCATATTTTACAAAAGATAATAATAATCTGTGCTGACAGAGGCAACAGAGACTCTGCGTTAAATGCAAAGAATGCCGCTGGCGATAAAACAAACACGAAATCGAAAAATACTGTTGATACTATTATGGATATTAAGCCATCTGAAGTCCAGTCCTATAACAATATTGTTCTAAAGCTGAGCAAATATGTTCTCAATAATAGTGAGGAATTTGTATTTGACACTTATGCTAATCACGTCTTGCGAACTGTCATAAAATGTCTGGCAGGATTAATTGAGGATCCTGACGAAGGTAATAAGAAGTCTGCTATGCCGGATCTCACAAAAAGACGTCCTGTGATACAGGAATATAAAGACTTGCTGATACAGAGTTGCGACCGATTGCAGAAATGGCCGCAATTCTGTGAGTTTGGACGGGAACAATTGACTTCCGGTTTAGTACAATGTATTTTGTATTCTCTGAAAGATGTTGATTCAAATTTAGTGAAAACTATTATCAAGAAGATTAGAACCAAATGTTTTAAAACAGGAGAAGACGAGAAGCTACCGAACATATTTCATTCAGAATATTCTATCTGGATACTGGAAGCATGTCTGATAGTGGCACAGCCGAAAACTTTCAAAAAATTATATAATACCTTTTTTGCTGAAAATTTAGAATATTTGTGTTTAACGCAAAATACCAATTTCAGCGTACAAAAGTTATTAGATTATTGTGTTACTAAGGAAATTTTTGAAGAAATATTTGACAAAGTAATAGAACACTTTCCAAAAATTCTCAAACTTGGTTTTACCGGGATATTAGTCAGCGCGGGAAATGCATGCTTGAGATTGCAGACAAAACAAGGTCCATTTGTCAATGCAATGATCGATATACTAAAATGCGGCGCATCCTCAGAAAATCAAACGCAGCTTGTACGATGTATAATAACTTTAAAGAAACCATCTCAATTGAAGGTTCAATCAAGTAATCCACAACTATCTCTCCATTTACATGGAAGTTTGATAATACAAGCCATATTGAAGTTCAACAAACCAATCAAAGCTGTGAATTCTTTACTAGAAATGAATAACGAAGAATTACTGCAATTATTTTGCGATCCGAAAGGCAGTCGAATCCTGGATGCTTTCATGGACAGCAATTATGTCGGCGAGAAGAGCAGGGAGAAATTATGCAAGAAGTTGCACGGCAATTGGGCAGAATTAGCCAAAAGTATACATGGATCTAGATGTGTAGATAAAATATGGGCATGGCCACGCATGAATCAAAAAACTCTTATTATGGAGGAGTTGGCCGCAGCTGGGCAATCTTTAAGTTCCACGAAATCAGGCAAGTTCATTTCCATAAAACTAAACGTCCCCTTGTTCGCGAGAGATAAAAAGGAGTGGACGCAAGTACAAGGGAAAGATGAGAAGACTAAAGCAATGTTTGCAAATATTATTGGAAAGACCCCTGAGAAATAAAAATTTAGTGTGATAATTTCATATCGCAATTTGTATCATTTTGAGAGAATAGTGTCTTATAAAATCATAATGTAACTAAACAACGAATCGGAAATAAAGGCTCTAAACGATCTTTGTTGTTCAAGCTGGATCTTTAGTGCTGAAATTCTGTATGAATTTATATACTATATATCTTCAATTCTCCAAATTGCGCGCCGTTTTCAGTCTCGAAACGCAATTCTAATAGAACTAAAGTAGTATCACAAATTAAATTGACAAGCAATTTAATTATAGAATTGCATTTCAAGGCTGAAAATAAATTCGGCGTGCAGTTAGAGGGATTGGATAGATAAATTCACACGGAATTATTTCAGTACTAAAGATTCAGCTTGAACATTTAGGGCCTTTAATTTCCGATTTATTTCGAGAGAATCCCATTTCGCATACACATGTTTGTTATACAAATGGCAAATTATATTGTATATCACAAAATATAGAATATTAATTATGTCTTCGACATTTTAGAATTGAAACGTTCAAGAATTCATAATAAATTGACATTGTTTATTATTATGAACTACTGTATATGAATTAATATTGTGCGCACCTATTTCCGCGCTGACTCTCATTAGCCTCAATTTTACTGTTTTTTTTATTTCACATTTTACCGAAAAAAATAAGCATATGCGATTTTAATTTAATTTATCCAATTAAAGTTTCACATCCAATTTTCCCCTAATTGTAAGGTATAATAAAAAAATCTACTGGTATTGTTTCTTATATTCTGACATAGAATAATCATATATTTCGTTAGTTTATAAATACACTTTATAGGATCCATCATACATCCCCGCAACGTAATGTGCCTAGGAAAAATTACAATAATTCGTAGTCTAGATTTGAGCAAAGTTCCCTAACGCGTATGACCGATAAATTCACTTCATCTTCCCGTGTTGACTAGACTTAAATATACGTGATAATCATATCCTGAGATGCGTGCGCGTAAAGTAAAAGATTCGAAACTTCTCAAGTTACATTACAATCGTTACAATCGTTAAACCTATCAATTGACTAGGATAAAATCGATGTGATTCGTTCTTCATATACGAAACATCGAGATGAGCGTAGACACATAATAAAATCAAATCACTTTATGTATACTGTAGCTATGTTTGTTGTGTGCATGTATATATCAACTTCATCTTGCAATACATATTATTTTCATAACGATATTCTGCGGTGTAATATCGAGATATAGTAAAAAGTTACATCAATGTGAGAGAACATATATTACTCGTTTGAAGAAGAGAAGAAGAGAAACTAACTTGTGCAATGTCATAATTTTATGCATCATAGAGAGATTCAACCGATATTGAGAATAGTAAAAGTTTTACGTTCCGTTAAAGAGCTTCGATTGAACAATGCAAATGCATTTTTCTAAATCGCGTCCAAATAAGCAATCCTTAATTGGACGAGCGTGTTTTTCAGCTCCGCTTTGAGGAATTTAACTGGTTAACGGCGAAATGAAGAAACGTCTACGCTAATGGGAGATATTTTCATAATGTTACATTTACCGCTATAATATCGATTCAGAATAATGCGAAACGCACATCTGCGATTCATTGATCGGATTCACGGTTATCTATTACTCTTTCAATTGCAGAGATTGTTTAAGACACGCATTATTTCTATTTTGTTTGGTTTAACCCTAGATAATAAATGGATTGGAAATCTCTGCGATTCTCGGTGGAGGAGAAAAAGGAGAACGGTTCTGCCACGATTCTGATAAACGTGTACATTTACGACAATACTATGCATACTTCACCGGCGTTATTTATTATCCGGAAAAACGCTGTGATCGATTACGCTACTTGTGAAATCAGGTGTTCATTTTGTATCATTAATTGATAAAATCTTAAAACGGATTTGTCACATATATCCGACGTTTCATTCAAATAATCTAGTTATCCAGAGAAATAATCTAGTTATCTTAAGAAGTTTACTTTTTCTGTGCATTTTTAACATTGACTATTTTTGGTCGTTAGCTGATCAAAATAAACTGTTAAATTATTCAAGCTGTTAAAACGTTAAAAACTATTTAACGTGCTCAAGCAACACAAATTTTCTTAAGATACTCCAATCCTTCATTCGTCTTTTGAACTTTCGTGTACGTACTGTTTGAGTAACGTTATTTTAACTTTCAACCCTCCGCAACGTAAAATGTTAAGTCAACAGTAAAAGTCTTCGAAAAACAGAGCAAATTTTTTTATTCCGGATGTATAAAAATCTGAAAAAATTCTGATATATTTGTTAAACCGAGTTTTTCGTTCACCATCATAAAAATCAGATTGCATTTTATTAATTTTTGCAGATTTAAATAATCTATCAGAATCCACAATAAAAATATGATGCCTTTAAAAGGGCAATCACGTTGCCGAAGGATTAATATAATCTCCAAAGATGAATAACGTCAAATTCGTTGATCGATGGCCGATATTCATAGTCCGCTCTTATTTAAGATTTTAAATAATATTTTAAAAGGTTAATAATGATGACTCTGATTAGCTTACGACATTTTAAGATTGTATTTAAGATAGTCTTAAATATAAGAACCGCTTATAAATATCAGCCTATTTGAATATTCGCGGTTTATTAACTGGTTATAAATAATCGTAAACTTCATATGTTATCGCATATTTTGAATTGACTGAAACGCCGGAATTAGAGATCTAGCGAGTAAATTGATCATCGAACTAGTATATTCCAATGCTAGTCCAGTTTTCAGGTATTCTTGACAAGCGTATAGTCAACTTTTTCGTAAACACGTTGGATTAGAGTAATTCTTGTTCATACTCGTCCACGTATCCAGATATACAAAAGAAATCTCCGGCCAGTTTCACGGAAAGGAAAAGATAAGTGTACGCAGAAGATGTATGATCGGTGAAAACACTGTAGAATGAGTTAAAAAGAATGGGCGCAGGAATTTATCTTGTGAATGTGTGAATACCTAATTATCAAAATTCGGAATTGACTCTTTCTTCTTCCAGTCCTTCCTTTTATCTTAATTCTCACGGAGATACAATCGGAAAGCGGAGAGGACAAACGAATATCCCAATAGTTTCAAGCCAATCTCCAATTTCGAGGATCAGGCATTCGATTTCACAGGAGCGAGTTCCTCTCGGTTCATTTCAATTCACACATTCTTTACAGAGGAGAGTTTTTGTGAGTTTGTGTGAGGAAACGCGATCAGCGTGACTCGTAATCGATTGCTCTGGCCGATCGCTGATTGTTCCTAGCACCGCGACGTCACTTCCCCTTTGAGACCCCGGCAGACGGCACCGGCGTGGCGTCGACCTCGTTGATATTCGTAGAGAGATTCGTGGCGGCGATTCTTGGCGGGCTGCGTGAGGCTGATCTTCGCGGTTCGCGCGGCGGCAAGTTGTTGCAAGTCGTATGGTGGCCGGCCTCCCAGTCGCGATGCTGGCAGAAGGAACCGCAGTATCTGGCGATCCCGCATCCACCGCAGGTCTCCAGGGCGGGCCTACCACAATTCCAACAACTCTGAAAAAAGAGATGAGGATTCGTGCGCTCTTAGCTTGGCTAGTTTCTATTTAAATAGTTTATTCTAACTCGGGAAACAACAAAAATCAAGAAAAAATGTATAAAATATATTATATAATACAAACTGCATATCGGATGTGTACCTATCGTGAGAGATGAGATTGATATAGCAAAAAAAAAATGAAAAAACTGATTTACACAGTATATCGTAAAATGGGAGTAACTATGGCCCAAATTTAAAAACAATGCTTAAGTAGTTGCATGCATATATATATCCAAAGTTATTTTTTATTAGATAAATAGATACATTTTAAAACATCTCGATCTTGGCATGCGTGGTAAATTATTAAAATTTGAGTCAAAGTTACTCCATTTTATTACTATAATAATGACAATTACACAATCATAGCTATATATGTTTATTTTATCGATATTTAATAGTAACATAAAAATGGATTTCTTCACTTGAAAGAGAAAGATATATTGTAAATTTAAACACACAATCAACATTTGAAGATTCTTGCAAAAGTATGAATCAATCGCATGGCTATACTTACGGATCCCATCATGCCAGTGAGGTGAATGTCTTTTTCGTCCTCAGTGGTCGACGGTGCTGAATTCGGTGTCGTCGTCGGCGTCGCAACGTTCCTGGTGCTGGCCTCAACTGTGGTCGAATTCCCGTGAATTCTCAGGAAAGGGCCCTGACGGAGACTGCCCGGATTTCTTTGGGACAGAGGAAGATCCAGTAATCGATGAACCCTCAAACGTTCGTTCGCTCTCGACTCCGCAACCGCAACCGCTACGGCACGTTGCACCTCCGCCACTGCAGCCCTTTTCACTTCTAACACAGCTTCCTCTAGAAATCCCCGTGAAACCATTTTCAATTAGCGCCCTTATTTAATACCGCCTTATTTAATTATTACATTTCGATCATTTCAAATAATCTTTTTAATATCATCTACAAAATTAAATTATGTATTAAATTACTGGATATGTATTAAAGTATTGGGAAATTATAGTTATGTGTTTATAATCCAACCAAATTAAATCTGTTCAATTATTTCGCCTAAAATAATTAACTTGAGCAGCCACGATGAGATAACGACCTATCCAATAATTTTATTAAAAAATTTAAGCTGTTCGTTAATACAACTTTCTGATATAATAAAATTAATCCTCTCGAGCTGAAATCTGTAACACAGTTATAAAGACGCTAGGTCTGTAAAAGCCATTTAATTTATGTTAATCAAGGTAATTAATTTCAAGGAATTAAAATGGCATAATTCACATAAAAAAAAAGAATACTAATTGTAAGTATATTTTAATAAAAATAATTGCAGATGTAACATAAAAAATTGGCTTATTTAACATTTTTGACAAAAAGATTTCTAATTGAGTGAGTCAATAGACTCATCGTCAGCTCCGGAGAGTTAAAAATTTTCACGACGTACTATCGCACTTTATCAAAACACCTACCAGCTCTTCGTTTGACCTCGGCCACCCTGTCTTCAGTCGCCCTGATCGTTTGCGCGACGATCTCACCGGACAATCGCTTCAGACCACCATCTCGATCGCCAGTGGACGACTCTACTTGCACACCGTTAGTCGAAGACGGATTATTGCCGTTACTATTGCCATTATTACTGGTACCATTCTGCGCCGCGACCACACCTGGTGGAGGCGCCGCAGCCGCCGGGCTGGAACATCCTCGTCGCTGAAGGATCGCCAATGCTCTCTTCGTTTTCTCGACCATGCCGAGGATGCAGTTGAGCATCACATGGATATTCTTCCATTCGTCGTCGAGGCTGCCACCGTTCTGCGTTTGTAAACCATGACCCAATGGTTGTTGTGGCTGCTGAGTCAGATGATGCGGCGCGGAGAACGCGTTTATCTGATTAATCT